TTTAAAACCTAGGTTGACATCATGCAAAAGCTGTTATCTCTTGGGTTTACATCAAATTGGCTCTGACTGAAATGTTTTACATTGTTTTTCCCAAATTGATATAAATCCAACATCCAACTCGACTAAAATGAGGCGTCAAATTGCAAAACCCGCTTTATCTGTTTAAAAAAGGCTTCATGATATATATTAATAGTGGACCCTCAAATCTACTAATCTACATAAACATAATCCCAAACTGCAGTAAAGTCGCCTATTCCTATATAAAATTCACTACAAATTACGTTACTGATGTAGCAAAATCTGTCTTATCCACTTATAATTGCTTTTTATTGTCATTATTGTTAGAAATCCCGCATTTTTTCATAAGTTTTTTACACAATTATAATATTATTACTGACATCTATTCAAATTCTTACTTAATTTTAATAAAATAGTATATTTAATAAATCAAGATATACAGTACGTCTGCTGGATCTGTGTCTATGAAAGAAATGCGGACAAAACACATTTAAATAAACAACAATATATTTTATACGTCGACTTGACGAGTACGTCAGCGCAAATCGCTCCGCCCACTCATTTTAATGGCTACTTGCAAATTTGTCGAATTTTTATTGATGGGACGCGTCGTCTAATTTTTTACGAAAAACATCGAGAGAATATCGTTTCCCCTCTCACGGAGACCCCGTAGCTACAGAACGGACAGACGTACTGCAGTATATGTCGATATATTATATATATTTGATATATTAAAGAGTATATATTTAATAAATCAATAGATAGTAGAAGAGGTCAGGGATGCCGACGAACATCATGGCTGAAAAATATTAGACAGTGGACGGGAATGACGACCGTACATTTATTCAGGGCGGCCGTCAATAGGATTATGTGGACCAAAATGATTGCCAACATCCATAGAGGATAGGCACTGAAAGAAGAAGAAGAAGAATTTTTTCTTGATCATATTGTATCAAAACCCGCAATATGCATCATACTGCATCATACTGCATCAATCGGGTGCGCTACTTTTGAAATGCACCCGGTATACACACGCGAAGCACAATTAAAGAAAATAAGTCGATATCCATCTTAGAGACGAGTCACGTACGAAAATATTATTTCGCATTCGATCAACCTTCTGCTCTTGGACGTGCGTTTAGATTATCGGTCTGTTGGGGCACTTGAAGCCATCGAGCGCATATTCATAAATTCGTGAGATTCGCCGTCGCATTACCATCAAAACGTTCCAATTGCAAAAGAAGAAACGAACACAAACATTCCTTCGGCTCGATTATTTCGCCCAATGGCTCTGAGATTCGATATCCGACGTGACGTGATGTAGTGCAGTTTGCTATAGTCCAGTCAATCAGGGAAATACTGCTTATGTTAAGCTATCTCTCTGTGTTTATTTATCGCTTTCAAAACATGCTCTGTCTTTATAATAATATGATGAGGAAATATTATTTTTTTGACATTCAAACAGTAATAGTATAGTGTGTATGTAATAAGAAAAGTAGGGTGATGTAGAACGTAGAATGCATGGAACGGGCATTAATCACCGCGATCTTATAGATCTATTGCGTCCCTCTTTCTTCTTCTCAAAAGCCAGTATATAAACTAATCGAAAAAAGTTAAGGATATTGTGTTTTCGCTAGGAATAAAATTTTTCAAAAAAAATGTGTTGATAACTATTAATACCTATGTCGTTTGTGTTTAAAAAAATACTGTTTGTAAACATAAAAAATGTACCCAAACAAATAAAAAGCATTATCATCAAAAATGTACATTTAATTTTTGTTTAGAATATAACTTGTTCGTGTGTTGTTAAGCGGCAGTTTGCGATATTGTGGTTATTCTGTCATCGATAATATGAACAGACGTCATTTAAGAGTAGAGGAAGCAAATCAAGCCATTGGGTTGCTTCTTGGAGGTGCGCGACAGATCGATGTGGCTGATCGCCTTAAAGTTACCTAAAGTGTAATTTCTAGACTTAAAAACCGATTTAATGAGACTGGATCTGTCATGGAGAGGCATAGGGAGGGTAGACCGAGGTCGACAAATGCTAGGGAGGACCGAAGCTTAATGAGAGGAGCTAGGATGGATCCTGCAAGAAACTACACGTTGCTCAGCCAGGACCTTTTGGCTGCCAGCAGGGTACGTATTACCCCTCGGACGGTCTTAAATCGATTAAAAAAAACAGGTTTACATTGCTATATGCCTATAAGACGCCCTCCGTTGACCGTGAGACTAAGGTTGAGGTCATAAAGCTCAACGTTTGCTCTGGTGTAATGAAAGAGCTAACTGGAATGATCAGTGGCATACTGCGATGTTCAGCGATGAAAGCCGCTATTGTCTCCGTACTGATAGACGTACAGTTCGTGTGTGGAGACTAAGAAATACAAGACTTAACGACCGATATGTTCAAGAAGGGCATCCCTTTGGAGTTAGAGGCGTAATGGTCTGGGGTAGGGGTCTTATAGGCATATAGCAATGTAAACCTACTTTTTTTAATCGATTTAAGACTGTAAGGGGTAATACGTCTGCTGGCAACCAAAAGTGTAGTTTCCTGCAGGATCTATCCTAGCTCCCCTCATTAAGTTTCGGTCCTCCCTAGCATTTGTCGACCTTGGTCTACCCTCCCTATGCCTCTCCATGACAGATCCAGTCTCATTAAATCGGTTTTTAAGTCTAAAAATTACATTTTAGGTGACTATAAATCGATCAGCCACATCGATCTGTCGCGCACCGCCAAGAAGCAACCCGATGGCTTTATTTGCTTCCTCTACTGTTAAATGACGCCTGTTCATATTATGGATGACAGAAGTTATTCTGTCATCGATAATGCGATATTGTCGTTATTGTCGATAATGCGATATTGTCGTTATTGTCGATAATGCGATATTGTCGTATCGATTGCGATATTGTCGTTAGACAATATCGCAAACTGCCGCTTAGAGCCACGCAAACAAATTCTATTCTAAACAAAAATTAAGTATACATTTTTGATGATAATACTTTTTATTTGTTTGGGTTCAATTTTTTATGTTTACAAACAGTGTTTTTTTTTAACACAAACGACATATAGGTATTAATAGCTATAACACATTTTTTCTGAAAAATTTTCTTCCTAGCGAAAACACAATATCCTTAATCCCTTTTTCGATTAGTTTAAAACAGTTTTATAGGGGTTAGTTCTCCATCTCCGATATCAACCGTACTCAAGTTCATGGCACGAATGGTTGTCGTCTCGCCGCAGTCAGGAAGTGTTCTGGTGTTTCCCCATTTTCCCTAGAATCTGCATTCGCCGTTGTTTCTTAGCTTCAATATACGATGAAGGTGTTCGTTGAGAAAGGAAAATCAAGGAAAATCATTGATTTTTGTAAGTTCTGAGAAATTTGAGTGTCTTATACCGTTGAAGGATTCCCAATTTAGGTTATTAAATTAATGGAGTCTTCCAGGTTCTTCAGTTCTGCTTTAATTTGGTTTCCACTTGGGAATCAAACGGTTCTAGTCTAGTTAGTAGTGTTTGCTCTTTTTCTAGCTAGATCGTTTACTTAAGTATGGTAATAGTACGGTAGTTGGGAGTCTTAAGAGATAAGTGAGAACTTTGGACTTGACTTTTATCCTTAAAACATTTAAGGAAGAGGTTCATTTACTGTTTAATATTTCCATCATTAATATATGGCTTCGAGTCCTGGATGATGAAACAGTCAGAGATAAACAATTGACGTAACTGTGATACTGTCGAACTGCTGGTGACGTATTCTCAAAATTTCCTGGGCTGCCCGACGAACCAGTGAACCGTCTTTCAACTTCTATACAATCGCATATAATTAAATATTTTGATCATGTTTTGAAGAACGATACTGTTTGTATGGAAAGACTCATAATAAAAGGAAAAGTTCCAAGAAAAAGACCTAGAGGCTGCTCGCCCTCTTGATGGATAAACCAGCTAAAAAACTCACACAGAAACTACTGCACACGTTGGTACATCAAGCACAAGAAAAAGAAGGAGAAGAGAACTATGGAGACAAACTAACCCACACGCTTTAATATGACCACTATATTCTTTTTGTAAGAATAAAGACAAAAGGGAGAATAAGAAGAGTAAAATATTTTTCGACGATGGTACAGATAGCATGGCAGAGATGTGGTATGTTGAAGGCTGGTGTAATTTTTAGTTTTTTTTCTGCTAAGAAATAGAAAGCGACGGAGATGTATTCTTGTGAAAATAACAAAGTAACGTTGTTTGCTTCCCACGAAATTCGAATAATATATAAGTAAGTTTAGAAGTATATTTCATGGATCATTGTAGTTCCTTTTCTCAGAATGGAGTTTTGTTCTATTTAATATTTAAATATGGAATACGACATACTCTGACTACCAAGAACGATGTTGATATAATATATCTTAATTAGACATAGAGAAATCAACAAATTAGATATACTTAAATTGTCAAAATTGAGGACATTAACGTGAAGTGTCAATCATATGTGCCACCAACATCTGCCAAGACATGGAAGATTTCTTATATTACATGAATAAAATACTCTGGTGCATATTGTACTATTTTATGTAGTATAATTGCCGTAGATACACCGGATGGAGATCTCCGGTAGAACGGTACGATAGGTAGAAGTCGACCTATCGACACAGAGGGACTGTTAAGGTGGACCCATATTGCTCGTGATCTTGTTCGCTCTCGTACTGGTGTTTGCGCTGATTGGGCTCTATTTTGTCTTGTTTCTCAACATCATTCGGCTCGCAAGCAACAGTTGTTCATATTATACGAATGTAATCACATAGTGTATTGATTACTTTCATGTCGTTTTAACATCAAAATAAACAACGAAAACAGCTCGAACGCCTTCAGTCGTTGCCAAGTGTGTTCCCACATCTCTTTTCGAATCATCTCTTTTATGTAACGCCACAAAGCTGAACAGTCCAAACAAGGATTTGATGTGATCGCAAGCCCGTGAAGTATTTGGAGCACAGTAAAAATGGTTGTAATCGCGCATATACTGTTTGCCCTGTTTTTCGTGTTTGATGCGTTCATGAGTAATTTAGGCGCACCTTTTTGTGGGCGTAAATTAAATTATTAAAATATTGAAGAAATGGTGAACAATTTCCAGAGAAAAATGCCCCCAGTTTTGTCGCGATGGAAACTTCCGTAGCTAAAAACGGAAGGAAAGAATTTAGGCATTCCGGGACAATATTGTATAATTCGCACTTTGTTTCTGACAACGATTATATCAAAGACTTTATTAATTTCTAAAATAATACACCCTTTGAGGAATGTCTGTTATTTTAGATAATGAAGGCTTGAACAAATAGCTATGTTTAAAACATAAATTTGGAGTTTGTTTTTTATACAATTTTTTGATTCTACTTAAATATTTAAATTGCCAGTATCATAATTATCGGAAAAAGTAACCAAGTATGGAATACTATTTAGATTTTGTGTTATATGAAAAAGTGTATTATAAATCAAAATGTTTTATTCTTAGTTATTATCCGTCGATAGTGCGTCGACTGTGAATTAAATGTCGACAATGTCGAGGATGTCACAGGCGCTAGTTTGAGATAAGGTCTGTCATTATAAAAGAGGAGTGATTATTTCACCTCAACCCCCTGATTAATTAGTGATTATTAATTTCTCCGGATATTTTGGGTTATTTATTTTGACTTAGGCTATCCTATGCGATGGTTATTGTTTCCTTTTGATGAATGATGAATTAATTAGAATATATTATACTACAATAGACTTTAGGTCTATAATTGTCTACTACTTAATCTTTTGTATTTTTCCTTCTTGTATAAATAAACACTAACTTTTTTCCGGTATCATATTTGCAACACTTTTAAAAAAAATAGGTAATAAAGCCTTTATTACTTGACTTAGCTCTTCGAATTTCATTTGAACATTCGAAAATGTAGGTCCACTTTTATTTGAATGTCCAATGTGAGAATACTGCAAGGAATTTTGATTCTGATATTTCTGATTCTAATTCAATATCTTATGCTTAGATAAGAATGAAGAAATTCTATGTTTTTATATTTGATATCAATTAAAATTTTAGTTACATAATCGAGGGCGCAATTTTTAAATTCATTGTTGCCAAGCATAGACATATTCGGTGCCAGGCCCCAAATGGAATTTAAATTTCGCGCTGGGGATTCAGGTGGTAGGTCTGCTGTAAAAAATGTCAAGTTGCCACATTTATTTATTTATTTCCTGACATTGTCATTCGTTTTGACACTTTAGTTTTGTATTCCAAATTTTTGGTTTAAATAAATAGTGTTGTGATACTTTAAGCTTAAACGTGTCTACTAGCAGACATTGCAGTCGAACATTGTTTTTTAGAACCTCTTTTAGTGCAAATGTACAAGATAGCTTAATAGCCGTAAAAAAACTCATCGCCACTTTATTAGAATATTGTGAATGTGAAAGCGGTAGTATAGTGACCCTTTACGTCCCTTAAGTGCTATTAAGAAGGTGAGTTTTGTTGATGTAAATAATAACAAAATATGTAAAAGTGGGCAACGCTGTGCCGGTCAAGCTTAATCACATGACTAAAATTTTATTTGATATGAACTATAGATTTCTATCCTAAAAAATACAAAAATTCAGTTTTGAAAAATTCATAATTTTCAATTTTTTTCGCGAAGAATAGTTAAGCACTAATTTCAGGACTTATTTAAGACTCACCTTTTGTATATGTAAACTGAAATAAATTTTTGTTTTTAAGCCGTGATTTTATGAACATTCATTTTAATTTGTTTATACCAATTGAGATAAAGGTTTTAGTAAAATAGATACATAATTGTCTTAACAGTTTGAAAATTGACTTGATATTATATGATTTTAATGGGGCCACTAAATCGCCACAGAACAACACAACCTAAAATATACGTTTGGCATAATTGTATCGCGTATACAACGTATGCCATTATTTATTATTACTCTCGAGAAAATGAGTATTTTGCTCTTTTAAATCAGGCCGATGAGCGGCTTTAATGTCTTTCCTTGTTTGTGCGAGCCGCAAAAATGTTTATTGATACTGGCATTGTGCTATTAAATAAATGTTTCAACAACATAAGTTGTTGGTGAAGTAATTGGATTACATTTAAGCGATAACTATGTATATATTACTGTATTACGTATTTTCTAGTATTTAGTTTAATAAAGAATATACATAAACATTTTCTATTTTTGCTTTCTCTTCTTATCAGCAAACATTTTATGTATCATGTGGGTAGAGAAGAAAAAATATTTTATTATAGTCTGTATTATTCGCAAAATACTGCCTGCTTACTCAAACTGTTACTACGACCATCCGGTTGAAAAAAACGGCGTCAAATACGGCTGGGGAATGACAATCGATGATAATTTTGGCGCGATCAAGTCCTAGATGTCAATACTTGGCCCGTACACAGGGCCGGCGGAAGGGAAATATTGAGACCGGGCGAGTACTCTATGTGGCGTCCCCTCCCCTTAATAGTTATTATAACTTTCTAAAGCATATTTATGCTACTTTAACAATAAGTTTTCACTTTAGTCTGCGGTTGCATCATAGAGTGCCATGGCTGTGTTAAAAACACTAATTTATTAATTTAAACAAGGAGCCATGGAAAATAGATTAGATCGTCTAATGTTTTTCGTGTCTTGTCTCAATTTTTTCAAATGGAACAAGGATGGCTCATTAGCATATTTGGAAAAAGCATTTTTTACGAATAATTTGATACGACACACTTGGAATTGGTATTTCTAGTCAAATTGTTACAAATTGTTCGTCGTTATATACAATTTTAAATAAACCATAAATATGCGAAAATGTCAAAAGTTGACATATGATATGTCATTTTATTTAGAGTGTCATTTTCTATCGTATAAAGCAAAAATATACCGAAGGTGCCGTTTAAAAATCAAAAGTAGTAGTAATTTCCGGTGAAATGACCACGATTGAGTACGTTAATTAAGTTATAGGGGTGAACCACTTTTGAGATGCGCCCGGTATATAAAGCTATAAGAAATAGAATTCCAACTTCGGCAGTCTCATTCTGGTATAAATGATCTTTGAAAACATTAGTATTTAGTTGCAAGCATGACTTTTCTATAAGAATTTAAGAAAATGTTCCTTTGTTTTTCACAATCAATTATTTCGTGCAGAATCAGTATATAATCAGACAGTTCTGTCGGTTTCAAAATGAGGATTAGCAAGTGTTTGAGATGCATTTCTTTGTGAGAAATTTTTCTTTGTAAGATTCCACTCATGAGTAAATTCTACGATTCTGCTACCATTTTTCGTGTATTACTACATATTCAATCCGGAACAATCAAAACCACCAAAAAATTAATATCTTTTCCCACTACTGTTAATAAATTAACTTAATTAATGAAGCAAACATATAAGCTTTTTTTATGATAAGAATATCGCGATCCCCTTCAGCTTCTTGCGAATGAATATTTGCCTCATATAATTTTAGGGCATATTAACCATTAATAACAAATAAAGGGTGTGAATAGTAGAAAAAGTGCCATTTTGAGCGGTCAGTCTAAAACTGTCAATTCTGGTGCATAAGGGTTATTTACAAAAAAAATTAGCTTTTGAGTTATAAGTAAAATACCAGTAGCAAATCAGATTTATATTTCTTTATTTTATTTTGTTTAAGATTCTTCCACGAAAATGAATTCGCAAATCGCAGTTTCGAATAGAGCACCCAAAAACATATAGAATAGAAGAAATCAAAACTCTCCCAAAGCTTTCGTGCTAAGGATTTTTTGAACATTATTTCAGTAAACTATAATAGGATAAGTCTAGGATATAGTAGTGTTTATAATGTTTAGTCAGTTATTCTTCCCTGTGTAGTGTGGCAATTGCTAATATTTTAATGTGGAAATTGATAGTACCGATTAATTATTGATCTGAATATTCGTTACTATAAATAAATAGTAGATTACTGTTTTTAAATATTTTTTTAGTCGCTGTTGTGGCGCCCTTTGGATCCGACGCCCCGGGCCGCCCGGCCCTTCCGCCGGCCCTGCCAGTACTCTTTACTTTTTTATAGCGCTAATCATCATCATCATCATTTTCAGCTTATTCAACCATTTCACAACTCCCTCACATACTCTCTTTGTAATTGGGTCCATTGTTGTCTATTGTTGGCTATGCGGGCTCAAGTTAACCGTACTTATTTCCTAATATCATGGTCCCATCTTAGGTTTGGTCTTCTTTTAGGTCTCTTAATTCTTCGTGGGTACCATGCTGTAATTTTTGTGGTTCATCTGTTGTCCGTTCTTCTTGTCAGGGTTCCTGCCCATTTGACTCTGTGGATGACATCTATTACTTGGGTTTTTTCTCATATCCACTCTATTTTTTTACGGTCTCTCTTGGTTATTCCCAGTATATTTCGTTCCATGGAGCGTTGTGACGTTCGTTTTAAGCGTCCAGGTTTCGCATGCATACGTCATGACTGGTAGTACACATTGGTCGAATGTTTTCTTAATATTTGAATATAATTGAGTTTCTGCCATAAATACTCCAGGCTAACTTAATTTTTCTATTGATTTCTGGTAGTAGAGATTGATATCGCCAAAATTATTATCAATTGTCTGTTTCATTTGCCATTATCAATTGTCAATGTTTAAAAAGCATTTCTATAATTTTTCTCGAGAACATTTGAAACTAGACAATGTTCGAGTATGCTGAATAGATATTTTATAAAATTCTTTCTATGCTTCAATAATAAAAAAGTTCTCAGTGATATTCATGTATGCGTATCTATATTCTTCTTTTGCTGTTTATTATTGGTGTTGATGGAGGATCTCCTCACTGTACCTCTATAACGTTTTGTGTATTTTTAATAGTATTTTATTAACTAATGTTTTATTTTACAATTTCTTTTCTCTTTCAGAGGAAAGAATACAAATCTTCCACGAAGGATCATGTTCAGTGGGAAAATGTAAAGGAGAGAGCGCTTGCAAGAATTTCGCAAACCACACTTATACGTGTGTGTGTACGCATGATTCATTACCCCCTACTCAAAATGGAAACTGTCCACGTCGATTAGGTAAGTACTTAATAAATAATGTTACTGATTTCGTAGGTTCTTATACCTAACTAATTTATTAAACAACTATAGAAACTATAAACTAACCTCATTTTCTCGGTACACAATCTGCCGGCTACCATCAAATTCTCTGTCGCACTGAACGTTATTAAAACCAACTCGCCGCCTGACGGGCGAACCCGAAATGATTCCCGCGCTATTTCAAAACGCGGTGCGTGGCTTTGCCCCGTGCAGGGCTTTACCCCCACCTACCCTAAATGTTTCGCACGTCATTGATTTACAACGAGATTTATCATTTAAAAATATTTTCGATACGGCGGCACTTACGGAAACAACGGAAGTTGACAGTAACTTTCTTATTTTTAATAGGCACCCCTGTTTTTTATTATATACATTCTCTGTAAAATTTTATAAATTTCATTTAAATACTCCATACCTAACATTAACCGTTTTTTGAAAAAAAAAAGATATTTAAAAATGCCTGCAAAAAAAAATGCCTGTCAAAAGAAATCTATAGCGTAAAAATTTTTTTTTGATTACCACAGCCACTGTTACATAAAGAGAAAACATGTGGCAATCTATTTCAAAAATTAAATTGTTGGGATATCATATAATATTGCCCGTAGCTGCCATGGAATTCAGCGATTAAAAAAGTATCAGAAATCATTTTTTTTTCAAATGGAAACTCACTTCTTTATTTCACTATAGTGACAAGATTTTTCAATTCATTATATTTTGATCATACATGTTCCTATACTACTTGATTTCATCTAGCTTTCTTTGACATTAAGTGTCAAACAATCGATTATTTTGTTTCCTTCTGTCAGAAAACTAATTATTTGAATTTCGTATATAGGGTTGTTTACCACATACGACGCGGAGTATTATAGCTAAACTCTTAGATTTTTGCAAGTTGTAGGGTTCGTTGAAGGACTATTAGAGCTACAATTAAAAATATTTTTACAAGATACAGAGTGGCACAAATAAATAAAAAATATCAAAGTTATATTTTTTTAAATGGAACACCCTGTATTTTATTACATTCTTAGTTTCTACGATTAAAATAAAGGTAAATTTGATTAAAGTTTACCGCATTTTAATCTTAACGTTTTTGAAATATTTAGGTTTTTGTGAAAATACAGTAATAAATTTATTGCTTTAATTCTCCAGGCGTATTTAAATTTTTAAAACCAAATATTGTACTGAAGTATTTCTATTCACTAAATTTGGTGTTGCAATAATAAAAATTATACTACCTTATACAGAGTGTCTAAAAATTTATTTTAAATCATAACTAGCTATAAACGGCAATAACTTCTTTAATTTAAATGGAACACCCTGTATATTTTATCAAAATCAGATGCACAATTTAATTGTCTATCAAATTGTATTATATCATTTTTTACCTATGTCTTCAGGATTTCGTAGAAAATACATGTTCTTATAATTTAGATCTCAATTATCAATATACCCGTGGAATATTGACATTTTTGATTATTTTTAAAGATGTAACAAATTTTTAAAGGGTACAGATACTAATATTGTCGACATAGTTCGTTTATGTCATTAAAAAAAGTTGTTTAAATATTTGTAAAAGAGGACCAATTAATATGATTCCAGTATTCAAACTACATTAATTGACTGTTTGCGTTGATTGATAATAATTCCTCCAAATACTAAAAAACTTAATTTTGTATGTGTATTAGACAGTGTGGTAACACCTTAACGTAAAGTAACACCTTAAAAATGTTATTTCATTTTTTGACGGATGCTTATTTATAACAACAGATGAGACGTTCAGTTTCATAACTTATTATTATATTGATTTCTGATTCCAAATCCACATTTAGTTGGAATAATTTTTTAACTAACACAATTAAATATGTAATTAATTAATATTTTGGCGGAAATAGTGGTGGTATATTTAATTAATGGTATACTTTTTTATAAATATTTAAATAGTTTTATTTTTGTATACCAATAGGCTGGTAATATTATCGTTTTTAGCACCTGTACATTTGTTGCTTTAAAAACGATATAAAATGTCAATATTCCATGGGTATATTGATAAATGAGGTCTAAATTATAAGAAAATGCATTTTCTACGAAAATTTGAAGGGATAGGTACAAATGGTATAATACAATTCGATGGACAATTAAATTCTATTTAAATTAAACAAGCTATTGCCGTTTAAAGCTAGAAATTAATAAAATAAATTTTTTAGACACTCTGTATGAGGTAGTATTATTTTTATTATTGCAACACAATAACTGATCAATAATTAAACTTCAGTAAATATTTAGTATTTAAAACTTTAATACCCTTGGAGAAATGAAGCCTTAAAATTTTTATTGCAATTTCACAAAATTGAAAATATATATTTCAAAAACGGTAAGGGTTTAAGGGTGATAAACCTTAATCAAATTTACCTTTATTTTAATCATAGAAACTAAAAATGTAATAATATACAGGGTGTTCCATTTAAAAAAATACAACTTTGATATCTTATATTTATTTGGGACACTCTGTATCTTGTAAAAATATTTTTAAATTTTAGCTCTAATAGTCCTTCGACGAACACAAAACTTACAATTTGTAAAAATCTAATCGTTTAGCTACAATACTCCGTGTCGTATGTGGTGAACAACCCTGTATAATAAATACTAGGTACTTCTTAAAACGTTAAAAAAAAAGGTTATTTATAAAAATATATTTAATATTTTCGCTCTTTAGTGATAACTAATAATTGATATGATTAATAATATGCCGTATGATCGAAAAAAAAAACGGCGCAAAATTGGCTTGGAAATGAATAGAGATGTTTTAACAAAGTTTTAGTACATGGCCACATATATTGTTTTACATCACTTGACGCTTAAAATCATAGGCTACTGGTTAAAATCAAGAAAAGTATACGCTTCAAAACTAAATCTTAAATAACTTAAAAACAAAAATATAGCGAATTGAAAAGCCTTGTCTCTAGTGAAATAAAAAAGTGCAACAAGAAAAACAGTGAAATAGAAAAGTGCAAGAAGAAACAGCACTTTTTTTCACGCCGATTTTGAACGTTTTTTATAGATATCTATAGACAAATAAATATTTCAATTTAAATAAATTAACTGACCGTACCGCCTTGAAATCAAACCTTTCAAAATTAAATTTTTAATAGAACTGTAACTTCTTCTAACTTCTAACTAATCCAAACTTTTTTCGCGTCTATACTCACTTGACTGACAGCAGCAATGAAAAAAATTCGGGGGAAATCCATTTAAAAGTTAAGTCTACTGCAGAACTAAAATCAGCCTGAGGGATACTTTTTTATTTTTAAAAAGAAGCTCTTTTGTTTCAGTTAAATTTAAGATATATTTAGCTAGTCGGTCATGTGTAAATATATTTAGAGATAGTTTATTATAAAATGTGTTTTTAATTCTGCAAAATATTTCTTTAATTCTGCATCTAAATTTGATTAATATACAGGGTGGTCCGAACTGTATTCCGGAAACTTCGGCAGCATATTCTGCACATAAAAATAAGTAAAATTGTTCGTATAAACTTATGTTCTAACCATTAGCGTAACTAGCAATTTATGTAGCAATAGGTGGGCCTGGGGGGGGGCCTGGGGTAGAGACCAGGGGGGGCCTAGGGCTTTTGTTTTTTTTTAAATGAAAAATAATTTTAAAAAACACATTTTTTGAATAAAACGTTTACATGAATTACTCTATCAATAAATTTCATAGACTTGGTTATCAAACCGTATTCCCGTAGATTACTGAAATACCTACAAATTTTCTAAAAAAATAAAAAAAAACACATTTTTTGAACACAACAAAATAATATTAACTAAACAAAACTAGAAAACGCCATTTTTATTGCATCACAAGCAAATAAAAATTAATACGTAGCCAAGAGTCATAATTCAGGATTTCTCTGGGGGTGCCCAGCAGTACCTGTGGAGGAAGGGCCCGGCTCCCACGGGCCCCCTGTAGTTACGCCAATGGTCCTAACATGCTTCGTTTTGGAGATACAGGGTGTAGAAGTTTCATTTTTATTTCGATTTTTTCAATATAATTTTTGAAGTAATTTCGATATTTAGATGAAAATTGATATCTGGGTTTTTTTTAACATGGGAAATTTGATTTCGATATCAATATGACTCCTACTTGTAGAGGGCACCACCTACATGTTTTTTACTGTTTTGAAGAGTAATAACTTTTCGTTCGTCCCTGTATTACACTATTGAGTGAAAAAATATACATTTACACCTTATTTTACGTAAAAAATGTCTCTTGGTAAAAATCGCTGCGAGCAACCGTTCTCAAGATATCTTGAATGAAAATAGTCAATATACCGGGTGCGTCTCAAAAGTGGGTCACCCCCTATAACTTTTTTATTTTTTCAGATAAAAAAACGAGATTTGGTGTCTTAGTATATGACATAAATTAGGATTGATTGACGTATTCAATTGTTTTCGGTCTCTTCCTGTTTTACCGCAAACGACTACAACTTTTGATTTTTAAATGTCACCCTCGGTATTTTTTTACTTTATTCGATAGAAAATGACATTCTGAATCGAATGACGTATCATATGTCAACTTTAGACATAATCTATTGCTCCTTGATTAAAAACACTAATTTTTAATCAAGAAGCCTTGGAAAAATATATTTAATTGTCTAATGTTTTTAGTGTCTTACCCTGGCCGGTTAAAAGATGCCCAAATCGCGTATTTTTAATCACATCTCAATTTTTTCAAATGGAACGAGGGTGGCTTATTAGCATATTTGGAAAAAGCATTTTTTACGAATAATTTGATACCACACACTTGGTATTTCGAGTCAAATTGTCGTTATGAACCGCAAGTTGCAATTTCACAGGTGTCATTTTCTGTCGAATAAAGTAAAAAAATACCGAGGGTGCCATTTAAAAATCAAAAGTTGTAATCATTTCCGGTGAAACCGGAAGTGACTAATTTATGTCATATACTAACATACCAAATCTCGT